CAGATTCAAGTTAACATAATGGTATAATGTTTTTTAATGATTAAAATTTAAGAAAAGTAAGTTTAATTTGAAACAAATCTGAAAAGTTTAATACTTTAAAATTGTTAAAGATTTCGATATTTTTAATTAACACTTCAATTATGAATGTAATATTAATGAACCCTTTTTTAGTGTCAGGAATCACCGCTATTTTCTTTTCATCATATAATATAGCAATTTGTGAATTTACATGTCCTTTTTTTGTTTTTGATTATACATACTATAATAAAATTCGATTGTTTTTCTTTCAATTTTAACACCGGGGTGGGGGGGGGGGGTTTGCTAATCAGGCCACAGAGGCTCCGATAAGGCCCTATGAAATGTACTCGATACTTTGAAGTATCGATACTTTTGTTTCGATACTTTTACGAGTACGATATTTTTTTACCGATACTACTCATGAGTACAGAATCGATACTTTCTATTCGATATCGTGTCCCTAGTCTCGGCGGCGCGCGACGTGGCACTGCGTAGATTTGTCTTGTCAAGATTGGTTAGCGGCCGTATAAATGACGTTAGTCTGTGTGCGTGCGTCGATTCGGGCGCTAGTATGAAGTCGGAGTACGGCTCTTGTATGTATTGTGGCTGAGCTGTATTGTAGTCACGGGGGATAATCTTCATACAACGGAATGCAATCATAGTCGGCCGCCATTACTGGAAATAAGTGACATTTCTTTTTTTTAATTTTGATGAAATTGCTTCTTTGACAAGCATGACATGACACATGACATGTATGATACGCCGGCCGGCCTTATTGTTCATTGCGATTTGCGTTTAACGTGTTGATCGAGTCAAGTACTTGTGCTTATTACTCTCCACTTTAAATGCAATTAGGCCTTCATTGTTATTCGTATTTTACGTCTTTTACGATGTAATACGAGTGCTGTGTGTGCAAAAGGTCGCGACAGGACGCTTTATTATATCATTTTTCTGGCAACTGGAAAAGACTTACTATGTGGTTAAAGTGTATAAACCGTGATGATTTGAAGGCATTACCTAAAGATCAGCTTTCGAATCTTTTCGTGTGTCAAAAGCACTTCGAGACTCGTTTTATTACGTCGGAATCACGGCTCAAAAAAATTGCTTATCCATCATTGTTCACTGAAGTCAAAATATTGAGTGGAATTATTGTCACCTCCACCTATTACAAAACAGTGTCTTATGCAATAAGTCAGCAAAAAAGTTTATCAACATTATATATATAAATTGTATTTAATAAAATTTATTTTTCAGATGGCACTGTGAAAATCAGAGGGGTGAATTTAAATATTATTTATGACCCCTGTCATTTGATTAAGGGGTTGCGGAATAACTTTATAACTAAAAATATATTAATGGATGGGAGAATTTCCAAATGGAGTGATATTGTTGATGTCTACAAAACAGACTGTAGTCATGCTGAGGTCAGGCTATTACATAAATTGAATGACGAACATGTTATTCCAGAAAAGATAAAGAAAATGAAGGTGGGTTCTCCTTCATTACTACAAAGAAATAATCTTGCAAAGCTAGTACAGTCAGCATCAAAAGTACAATCATCTGATGCTGACCATATCATATGTCTTACATAATATCTGGTTGGTGGTCTTACTTATTTTGTCTTGTCAACATTTTATTGAAATTTGTATTTTGTTATAGGTAAAGAATTGTGTAAAAGTATTAAGCAGTACCATGTCTGCTGCATTATCGTACACTGCAAAATTTTGTAAGTATATTTTATAATACTGAATAAACATTTAGTTCTGTTGTACTGAAGTAAAAGGTGTGTCATGCTCATCTTAGATAGAAATAAAATAAATTTAATGTTATTTCACTAACAGACAAAGTAATGGTCATAATATGACATGGTACAACAGGACTCGTAAAACAATCTATAGATACAACAGGACTCATAAAACAATCTATAGATACAACAGGACTCATAAAACAATCTATAGTACAAAATTGCTCTTTCTATATGTACCCCTAAAACTTTTAATCTAGGCATCGGATTCCATGCAGTTTTTAGCAATAAAGAAGAATGATCGAAGAGGAACATTTACATATATATTATAGTATACATTGCATTCGTACGAAGCTGGGGGCGGCGTTTTAGTATAAGTTATAAATATTTGTAAAAAGATTATTTTTATAGGATGTTTAAAATATTGTTTCAGCGCACTATGCCGATGGTAGACCCGTCAGTGAAACCCTGGACAACACCGCAAAGACCTTAGTCTTATTCTTAGACCAATTATTTGATAGCATAAACGGAGCCTCCATGTTAGGGAAAAAATCTAAAGGGAAGTGTCAACGAACGGCGGTCACAAATAATTCACCGCATCATGTATTCTGGAATGAATCTATAAATAAATTACAAAAATGAAATATGTCGATAATACAGGAACAGAAAAGTCGGTGCCCTCATTGGCAAATTTTATAACTACATTAAAAAGTTATCAGAGGCTGTGGCAGCTTTTTAAAAAAGAAAATATGAAGATAATGCGTCCGAGATATTTTAATTCTGACCCTATTGAAAATTTCTTTGGGCAAGTGCGAGCCTATAATTTTAGGAACAATGACCCAGACTGCCACAGCTTCAGCTGCACAAATAAATCCTTACTAATAACTAGAATACTAAAATTTCATAATGAAACGTTTAATTGTGAGGATGACCCGGCTGATCAAGTACTTAATTTGCAAACACTGTTTGATGACAGAGATATCATGCCGGGTCATCCCAGTATTGATATGATTTTAGAACAGGCACGAAGAGAAAAAATAAATGTACACTCACGGGCCTATACTGCTGGATGGGTAGTCGAAAGGTATTGCAAAATTTAAAAAGTGGTTGCACAACATGCAAAAATTCCCTCACCACCAGGGACTTAACTAATATACATGTTTGGATAAGTCACAGAGAATATACAAAAGCTAAAAACCGGTGGCACTACCCATCAGAAGGTGCAGTAAGGTGCTTTGGTACAATAATTAATGAATCAAATGAATACTTAGAAATAAAAGGACATGAAACAAATATAGCCAAGAATATAAAAGAAGTAGTTATTTTTAAGTATTAATTTGATTTTATTGTATGTACCGAGCACAAGTTATTGGTAATAGATAATTTTGTAAATTTAGTTATTAAATTTGCCATAATCAATTGGTGCAGAACAATAAACAAAATACTAAAGGGCACTGACATTTTCCGATTAAGTAATTGTTCTTTGCCTATGACGCAAAAAATGGCGTTGGAAAAATATAATAAAAAATTAAAAAATAAATCTTTTAATAAATAATTCATGTGTTTTATTGAAGTTCCTTTAATTATGAATAAAAATTCCGATTAAGTGGGATACCTAGGTACCTAAAATTTTATGGATGAATAAAGTTGAGCCTTAGCCACAATTTGACAAAATTTTAAAAAGTAAGTAAATGTCATACAAGACTAGAAGTACTTGTGTAGACGCTAACTTTTTTTTGTACTAGAGTCGGTCGTCTGATACGTAGTATCTCTAACTAGTCTGTGATTGTAGTCTTTTTCTTGATAGCAAAATGACTATTTCGAAATAACATTCACGACAAACCGTGATTTTGGAGAAAAAATGATTTTACAGTTTTACGAATGAGAAGTGTAGTCGAGGCATTTGTTATTTGATTTTGAAGTATTTGTGTTCTTTATAAAAGCATCAAAGGCATTGTTTTATCTTCATAACACAGAATATACGCAATATTGTTATATTGAGCGCATATGCAGCGTGTTTGAATGTCCAATTGTGACTAAAGCGAATTGTGGTCATGCACCACAATTTAATTGGATCACTTTTGAGCCGCGAGTGTCGTATCTTCCTTTTTTTTTTTAATCTAAGGCTAGCACCGTCAATTTCGGTAACATCTTGCTTAGTGGTTATGCCGCAATTTCATTTGGTCGGTAGCCCGTATCAAGGGCGGATTCAGCTTTGACGCCAGGGGGGGGTCATATAGCCAGCTTTGGCGCCAGGGAGGGTCATATAGCCAGCTTTGGCGCCAGGGAGGGTCATATAGCCAGCTTTGGCGCCAGGGGGGGGGGGGTCATATAGCCAGCTTTGGCGCCAGGGGGGGGTCATATAGCCAGCTTTGGCGCCAGGGGGGGTCATATAGTCGTGGTATATTAAATATTGAAAGTACTTAAATAAAATCTCCCTGGGTTTGGTCCATCTGTACCCAGCCCAGGGGGGGGTCATGACCCCCAGGAACCCCCCCCCCCTGGATCCGCCCTTGGCCCGTTTTCGGGTGCACAAACGACTTTACTCGAATTTCGGCACCCGAAGCAATATTACGCTGGAAAAAGTACTATAATATTTTTTGAAGTGAAAACTTTTTTAAGCGGCGTTGAACACTTTGTTTTGAATGGGGGAAAAAATGTTAAACTCGCGTCAGGTTAAACACGTGGGCTGATCGCATCATAGCACACAATAAAATTGGAAAGGTTGTTGACCTTCAATATATTGGACGAAACATATTAATATTTTATTTTACCGTATTATAATAAAAAGTCTATCTAGGACGTCCACGTGGCAGCTTTATTGCGAAGAAAATGCATTATTTTTACAATAGATGTCGCTAGGTGCGCTTAAATGTGATTCATGTAAGTTGATTTCTTTACAATAAGTAGATGTCGCTAAGTGCGCTTAAACGTGATTCATGTAAGTTGATTTTTCGGAGAAAAAAAACTTTTTTAATGTAATATAAATTGTCATATTTGTGTACGATAGCGCAATAAATAAATATTGTATTCTACCACATACATGATAGTACTTTTATACTGATAATTAAAGCAATTCGTGCAAAATTATTCCCTAACCATTCCAAAATATCAAAAATGCATAACGTCAAAATTCAAGTTTTCACTTCTGCCGGCACTCCCGGAGTGCAACCCGTCAGTTTTTTTATTTCTATTTGCTACTCTCCTTTTATTTATTTATTTCTTTTTCACCACTCACCTTTACTGATCTCCAGTAGTTCTATACTCCTGGCAGTGATGGGGGTCTTGATGTCTGCGAGCGGTGACCCACGGTGGGGCACCGAGTAGAACATAAACCCTGCACTGTTGCTCCATAACTGGCCCTGACGTGATGTGTAGTCTTCTGGAATAAAACATTCATCATCATCATCAGTCTATTAATGTCCCCACTTCTGGGCCACAGGCCTTCCCTATGGATGGAATAGGGAGATTGGGCCATGACCCACCACGCGGGCCCAGTGCGGATTGGCGGGTGCTAACGACTGCAGATGCAGCCGGGACCAACGGCTTATCGTGCCTTCCGAAGCACGGAGGAACTCGAGATAATAAATTTTTGGTCACCCATCCAATGACCGACCACTACGAAAGTTGCTTAACTTCAACGATCGCAGCCGAACCCGCTAACCACTTGCGCCATCGAGCTCCTCAATATAAATTAATAAAACATTAATAAAAGATAAGTATGGCGATAAGATAATAATGTACCATGGCGAGTACCACGGGGCACGGCGAGTATTCTGAGGAATTATTCTCTGTTATTCTATCTTCCACTTATGTAAGTTCATTTGATCATCCAAATATTTAATATACTTTCCCTTCAAATGGCATTGCCATGGGACACCCTGTATACCAATATTATCACTAGACAATAAGAAAAAATCTACATTGTCCAGGTTCGAAGGTCCAGGTTTCAGACGGGGTTGAACCGAATGGAATATTATTCTAGTAAAAATTTTCTTTAGACTTAAACATGCAGAAGTCATCTTCAAAAAAATTAAAAAAAAAAAAACAAAATTTTAAAACTTACGAAGAAAAATTTTACTAGAAAAAATTCCACGCGGACCAGGCAGCAGACGGGACTCAAACCCGCACTGAACATTATGCTACCGTAGCCCTGACGGCCGTGTCGAATTTTCTCTAGTATTTCTATAGATTTGAACATCTTAATTACATAAAAAATTTCTTCAGATTCAAACATCTAACAGGTTAATGCTTAAAAAATATAAATACTTACCTTTTCCATCTGAAGACAAAGCATTTGGATTATCCAATTTCTCATTCGAATCCCTTGTCGCTTCACAATTTCTCATAGCACCATCAAATTCCATAGTATTTCCATTTTCTTCATTATTTTTATTTGAGCATACTTCGTTACCAAAACCTTTGTCATCATTAAAAATCAATCTGTCTCGTTCTACTGTGTCTCTCCCTCTTTGTACATCTATTTCATTCGCACATTCATTATTATTCTCTACGTCATTTGGCTCGTGTCTTTTGTGTGTACTATTTTCAATTCCGTCATTTGTTCTGTGTGTGTTACGTGTTTTATTGTATGCTTCGTATGCTAGAAATTAAATAGAAAAATTCAAAGAAAAATTTTACTACAAAAAAATCCACGTGGACTGTCCGGGCGGATTCACTGACTGACGCGGCCCTGTCAGGACGTGTCGAATTTTCTTTAACCTTTTTTAGACTGCAAGGCGGCTGCCTGGTGACCGTGTAATTTTTTCCAATAAACTTTTCTTTAGATTTAAACATCAAGGAGTTAAATTATGCTTAAAAAGTAAAAAATATAACTAGAAAAAGTCATTTAAAAATCCTTAAAGTTTTCGTATTCAAAAAGCCGTAAAACTAGCCACTGCTCGCAATTTATAATATTAAACTTGAAATGGGTCCTGTCAGACCCCTCTTTCACAGTGGGCATTTTGGGCAAGTGCTGAGGACCCGCGATCGATAGGGGGGGTTTCAGATCAAATACAAAGTCCATAGTTCCTGTTAAATCACCAAACGGAAGTCATAGTCCCCATTATCCTAATATGCCCAGGGTCTCCAATAGGTCAAAGACGGCACTGGGTCTTGTAGTTCGTATTTTAACAATCCCAGAAGAAGTAAGTTATATTGAACGCAAAAAACCAACTTTAGTTTATTTTTTACGTTATACGATTTATATTAAAAAGATATATGTGTTTCTATATTCACATCTGGCAAGTATGCCATCTGCCTCAAAATTTCTTTTCCATTATTTTTTTTTAATAAATATATAGGCAATAGGGGTGATGACGGAGTACAGTAAACGAAATTCTATTTAGTCCGTCAGTTAGATGATCAAAAAATAATGGACACGTATTTTTTCTTTGGGCAATCAACCAAAAAGTGACAAAGTTATAGAGCGTCAAAGTTTGGGAGTAGGGGCTCGTGACGTCACTTTCAAGTGAAAATTGTACCAAAACGTGACGTAATGCGACTTTTCAAATCAATATATCTCTGCAATGTTTATATTATGTGAAAAAAGAAAAAATACGTGTCCAATACTTTTTGATAATCTACCTGATAAACGAAGAAGAAAAAATTAGTCATCATCCCTATTCACCATAATATAACATCATCCCTTCATCCCCCGCTTTCTCGTTGTAAATACATTAAGAAACGATTAATAAGTTAGTGCGTTCGGCTACGATCGTTGAAGTTAAGCAACTTTCGCAGTGGTCGGTCATTGGATGGGTGACCAAAAATTTACAATCTCTCTCTCCTCCGTGCTTCGGAAGGCACGTTAAGCCGTTGGTCCCGGCTGCATCTGCCGTCGTTAGCACCCGCCAATCCGCACTGGGCCCGCGTGGTGGGTCATGGTCCAATCTCCCTATTACATCCATAAGGAAGGCCTGTGCCCCAGCAGTGGGGATATTAATAGGCTGGTGATGCGAAGCTTGGATTAGTTACACCATGTTTTATCTCTGTTCATTGTATGACAAATGTCATATGAGTGACATGAACAAAAGACGGCGTAACTAGTCTAAAGTTATGCCTTGTGCATTTAGAAATCAGAAATCAATATATCTTTATTCAAATTGGATGTATAATATAACTCTTTTGATTCGTCCAAATTTTTTCCCTACCACTCGTTATGGACATATTTTTTAGCTGCGGAGAAAAACGAGCGAAAAAAACTCCACAACATTAAAAGTCTAATGTAACAACATTTACAAATCATTATGTTGTTACAACGTCAATACAATTATGTGCTTTTTTAATAAGTGCTTTTTTTATACTATCTTTGAATTTATTTATGGTTAACTCTTGGATATTGCTTGGGATTTTATTGTATAAGCTAACACAAAGACCTTTAAATGAATTATTAATTTTGTGAAGCCTAGTAGCAGGTAAAGTTAGTTTATTTTTGTTTCTTGGATTAAGTGTGTGAACATCACTGTTTTTAAGAAACAAATTAATATTTTTTCTTAAACATAAATAATTGGGCAGGTGTCTATTGATCTAATAGATATTTATTTTGGATACTAGTGGCCCGCCCTCGCTTCGCTTCGGTGTAGAGCTGTAGTGTAAACTATAGTTTTTGTTCTCAGGCTTGTGCCATAAACAATTTTTTTATATAATTACACGTGTTATTGTGAGTCAACCATAAAAGATAGACATATGCTATTGCGGGATATTTTTTAGACAATTTTATGTAGAATATTTCCGTTATACATGATTTCTATGTAACTTTAACCATTAAGGCTGCACACGCGACGGAAGCTTAAAAATGGAGTAACTTCTCCCGTTTTCCCAACATTTCCCTTCACTACTCTGCTGCTATTGATTGTAGCGTGATGAAAAGTATACTATAACCTGCCCAGGAGTATGAAGAATAATTGTACCAAGTTTCGTTAAAATCCGTTGAGTAGTTTTTGTTTCTATAAGGAACATACACACAGACAGACAGACAGACAGACAGACAGACAAAAATTTTACTGATTGCATTTTTGGCATCAGTATCGATCACTAATCACCCCCTGATAGTTATTATGAAAATATATCTCATGTACAGAATTGACCTCTCTACAGATTTATTATAAGTTTAAATTACCTTCACAATATATCTGCTTAATGAACAGCCCTCCTTTCGAGTGCCCGACCCATATGATAGGCTTCTCGCCCACATTCAACTCCAGTAGCTGCTGTGTCATCTGCTCCGCTCGCTCGTGGAGCCGCAACCTTACAATTACAATCATTATCATCAACATCATGTTGTGTAGCTACAAAATAAAGAAGGAACAAAATAAAAGACCATCCGTGTCATGTCATGTCGTGCTTAGATTAAAACAAAAAGGGAAGATACAACACTCGCGGCTGAAAAGTGATCCGCTTAAATTGTGGCGCATGACCACAATTCGGTTTAGTCACAATAGGGGTGATGACGGGGTACGGTAAACGAAATTCTATTTAGTCCGTCAGTTAGATGGTCAAAAAATATTGGACACGTATTTTTTCTTTGGGCAATCAACCAAAAAATGACAAAGTTATAGCGCGTCAAAGTTTGGGAGTAGGGGCTCGTGACGTCACTCTCTAGTGAATTTTCAATTAAAAGTGTACTAAAACGTGACGTCATGCGACTTTTCAAATCAATTTATCTCTGCAATGTTTATATTATGTGAAAAAAGAAAAATACGTGTCCAATACTTTTTGATAATCTATCTACCTGATAAACGAAGAAAAAAAAATTAGTCATCATCCCTATTGGACATTCAAACACACTGCATGTGCACTCAATATAACAATATTGCGTATATTCTGTGTTACAAATATAAAACAATGCCTTCGGTGCTTTTATAAAGACTACCAATAGTTCAAAATCAAATAACAAACGCCTCTGCAACACTTTTCATTCGTAAAACTGTAAATACATATTTTACTCAAAAATCACCGTCTGTCGTGAATGTTATTTACGTAAGCGCCATTTTGTTATCAAGGAAAGGACAGCGAATAAAAGGTTAGTCAGATGACAAAGTATGGTATCAAAGAAAAAAAAAATGGTTGCCTGTAAAGTCGGTTTTACGGGCGAAGATTTTACGTGACAACGTCTTTTTCTCGGTAGAATATTTATTGATATGAATATAATTAAATTGCACAATAGGAACAAGGAATTGAATGAAAATAAGAATTGCACAAATTTTAACTATAGAAATATATTTTGTTTACTAAAACATTGTACATGTAAACTTAAACTTAACACGAGAGACTCATCGTAACGTTACCGAGCGTTACACTTTTTCATAAGTGACTCCCAGCCGCAACCTAATTTAAGACGTTGTCACGTCAAAACATCACATACTAACCTTTTGCATTCTTTTATCCACAGCGGCCTCCACAGATACGGGTCGCTCGTATAATTTATAGAAATAACTCTAGCGTTCGGATAGTCCTCTTTGATCCAATCCCGGGGCCAACAGGAAGAGTAGCACATGTCGCAAACGCACCCGCAGCCAACTTCGCACTCTTTACCCTCACTCACTCCACACTCGCAATCCGCAACAACGTTCACACCAGAGAAACCTTCGCCAACTTCACACCGATTCCCATTCTTACATTTGCATGTGACTTCATTTGTTTCGCAACCGCCTTCGTTCGACACGCATTCGAAATTTAATTCCGAAAGGTTTTCGAATTCGTTTGGGCGGTTATCATCGCAATTCACCCCGTTCTCCTTCTCGAATAGGTCTCGAACGAACTTCGCTTGAGTGTCGTAATTGTCGACAACTTCAATTTGGTCTAAAAGTGTGTTGTTGTAGAATTTCTCCGCTAGGAATGCCTCTTCGTTGGGAAGGATCTTCTTGATGCCTCTGTACAGTTTTTCCTCCATGTCCTTGTACGCTGCATCATTCATATCTATTTCATATTCCTTGAGTTTCTTGGCGTTTGCTTCGTTGTCACATTTGCAGTCTGTAGGCCTGAGTAGAGGTACTTTGTTCGGCTCCAATTTGTATTTTGAACGCCAGTCGCCTTGTCGCCATGTATTCGACAAAGAACCTGTAATAAAATTATGATAAAGACCTTTAGAACGGGTGTACAGGACGATTATTTAAACTTTTTCATTACTCCTGACGTTTCGATTCCTTTAAAGGATCCGTGGTCTAAAACTGTCCTTTTTTTAATTACTAGCGGCCCGCCCTCGCTTTGCTTCGGTGTAGACTACAGTTTTTGTTCTCAGGCTTGTATTATACACAATGACATTCATCTATGATTTTCTTATACCTTTGCATCTGCATGCAAAGTCTCAGCCTGATCGGTTTAAAATTGACAAAGTTTCATACAAACTTTCATTCCCTATTTTATCCCCTTGGGGGTAGAATTGATCAAAATCCTTTCTTAACGGATGCCTACTTCATAACATCTACCTGCATGCCAAATTTCAGTCCGATCCGTCCAGTGGTTTGGGCTGTGCGTTGATAGATCACTATGTTAGTCAGTCACCTTTGAGTTATATATGTATATATATATATATATATATAGATTGACTGAATTTAAAGTGGCCTTCTCAAAAAATAGTGAATCAAGGCAGAAGTTGTAGTAAAACAAACCATTTAGATGAAATATTATTAGCAATTTCCGATTGAATAATAATTATTTTCTGCTGCAAATTTATATATTTTAGATGTTTCATAGACGCTTAAATTGCAGTTATAACTTAAAGCGGCCCATTTTAATAATATAACCATTCATCATTTGAACGGATGAATTATAACATGATGATGATATTAGAAAAACAAATTATACCCCTTTATATTATATACTATACTTTAAAATGTACATCTTCGTCTCTAATAATGTCATCATCAGGAGCAAACTCGCCCCGCTTCCCACACTCAGCACCCCGCGGGCTCGCTAGCAAGAAGGAACGCATGCTCTATTTAGTAGTATTATTATATAGTATTCTCTTATTATTTAGATTTGACCAAATAATTAGGTTCTTTGTTACCCCCGAAGTATGGCTGATTTACCCCCGGAGAGGTAATTACCCCCAGGTTCGGAACCCAGGTTCTAGTGTATCTGATCCATCACGATCATATATATGTCGGCGGATGGCGTCTTGCTCGCTCCTGCGAAACGTAAAACCTACAACAAATGTCATCAGTCATTGTACCATTGCTTTGTGAAACGTCAAGTTATGACAGTGACAGCTGTCATCACTTGGGAGTGGTCTATGCTAAGGGTAGTATTTAAAGGGGGTAACGCTTCATTGGAAGGGGCATTCAGACGTGAGCCGGGATAGTGAACGGACGTTAGCACAGAACTCTCCGCGCTTCACAAAGCAATCCGTTTGTACCTTGGCAATCATAACTGATTTTGTAAAGTAATAAAAAGATTCAAATTAAACGTAAGCTTGGTCACTAGACTACAGCTTTATTTTCGGGAAATATCATTGAATAACCAAGATGGCGGATCAAGAAAAACCACGTGGCCAACCGCCGATATTACCGCTCGCCCCACTCCGACATATAACACTCACCATAAAGTCCATGCACGAATATGACGTCACAGCCGTGTTGTTGGGGGGGCGGCACATGCAGCACCTCGCAGTGCACGCGCGGCTCCGGGTGCAGGTGCTCCGTGCCGGGGGAGCCCCGCCTGGCGCCTCTAGGGGGGGAGGAACCTTGGAAGATACGAACGATACAAGTTTAGGAGTCATACGTGAATTATGTCACACGTTAAGAGCGGACGCGAGGTAAGAGACATTTGAGAAATAGGTTTTTGCTAAAACTATTAGTGTCGCCGCAGACGGGCCACACGCCACAGCCACAAACGCTGCCACGAGAATCTGGAAGCGGCTACTAAAGTGGCTGAAGCGCGCGACAGCGGCGTGTGTGGGCCATAAGAAGCGAGCAACGACGATTTGTAGCGTGTGGCGGCCACCGGCGTACCGTGTGTGGCGAGTCCATATAAAATGTATGAAAACTACAAGAAATATCACGGTGGCGGCGTTTTGTGGTTGTGGTCGGTGGCCCGTGTGCGGCGACATTTACTGTCGCGCATTTACAAATACCGTGTGATAGGGACAACAGTAGCCAACGCTGAAAATTGCGTATAAAAATGCAAAATTCGAGGTTTGATCAGATCAGATCAGAGTTTCATGGTGTCGCCTACTAGATCCCGGGTTCGAATCTCGGTAGGTATGGTTAGCAGATGTTTTATGATTAATATGTATTTGTACGTCAATATACTTTTTCTATATAAATGTACAGTATATGTATTCTATCCTTTAAACACACCCATTGCTCCGTATCCCATTATACAAGCCTTACAGTGCTTACTTTGGGGCTAGGCTAATTTTTTTTTTTTTTTTTTTTTTTTTTATATTTCCGACACTCACACCAATTAGCCTAGCCCCAAAGTAAGCACTGTAAGGCTTGTGTTATGGGATGCTAGGGTAACGGATAGAATACATATACTGTACATATATAAGTATATTTATATAGAAATACATATTAAACATCCATGACTGGAGTACAAATGCTCGTATTCATCACACAAACATCTGCCCCCACCGGGATTCGAACCCGGGACCTCTCGAGTCGGCGACACCATGAAACCCGGCGTACAAACCACTCGACCACGGAGGTCGTCAAGGTCGTAATTGTTGTGAGTGTTGGAAATATTTAATATTTATTTATTTAATGAATATGAAATTAAAGTTCGTCGTGGTCCTTCCGGCAGTACGGCGTCTTTGAACTTTATAACAGCTACATATGTGCGAGACTTCAGCGCATGAGCGCAATCCACTGGGTTTGAGCTGTGCGTTGGTAAATCAGTCAGTCAGTAACGATTGCCTTTTATGAAGATAAAAGTTAAGGGATCCGAACATATTTAACCTCACCTGTGGATCCGGCAGCGCGTATAGTAAGAACTGGCACCGACCCGGCGAGGAGCCGGTGCAGCAGAACCGTGGCAGTGCTCCATACGCACGACACGCACCAGCGTCTGAAATATAGAATATATACATAAATACACGCTTATCAATACCGACCTGCATATTTTTGGAGTTCACTCCTTAACAATCGATTTGCAAGGGGCCCGGTATGAGAAAATGTGAGGAGTAAAATCTATCGATGAATGACATTAATGACCTCGTTACGTTTTTGTGCGCAACCTCATCTGCGCACCTTTCACTTTTAGCCATGGCAACGGATAAAAAACATTAAGTTGTCACAAATGTCAATGAAATAAATAAACTAAAAATAGATAAAATCGGAGCAAAATTAATGAAAACAAATAAATAACAGAATATAGAGAAATGCCGGTAAGTGTCCAGCACTCTGGAATAGTGATTTTCAGTACAGATGGAATTATAATACATATTTACAAAATGATGACTAGTGTGTGATATTTTTGAAATTGTCTGTTTCCAGAAATACATAATAAAATATATGATGAATATCGCTGAGGTTAGATGATAAAATGTGTGACATGGAACCTATGATAGTCGAAACCATGGGACGATTCCTGAGGTATCTCTACTTGTAACCGACTTCTTCGGACTTGATTTTGTTTTGTGTCTGTTCAAAGACAATCGTTTTTAGAGTGTAAACTCCGGTCGTGCGACACACACAATTTTTTTGTACAAACAGCCATGAACTACTTGCATGGAGCACTCCCACTAGAGTCCTCATACAAGGGCCAGTGGTTACGCCAAGCTTAAGTAGGTACCTAAATTTTAGCTATGCGTGAGGCACGCCCCCAAACGTCACGAAGTCCCTATATCAGTGTTTCCACAATGAGGGGAAATTCCCCTTTTAAGGGGAAATTAGGGTCCAGAGGGGAAGAAAAAGGGGAAGGACATGAAAATGGGAAATTGCGGGAAATTATGGGTAAAGCCTAGCCTAAAATAATGCGACACGGAACAAATTTTTATGGACTATACCGTGGACTAGAGTGTTGTCGTATAAAAGAAACTGTGGCAACACGTGCAGATTTTATATATTTTATTTATCTGTTATAGAATAAGATAGATTAAGACCTTTTTTTTCTTTAGTTACTAACACTAGTGCCAATTCTAAAAACTACAGCAGAATAATTTTTGAGGGGAAAAATGTCCTAAGTAGGGGAAATCTGAATTGACGCGTGGGGAAAGGAAATCATTTAAGTGGAAACACTGCCCGATATATTGTTTCATTCGGAAACCGAGCGTTGGTCTGAGTGTTTCGCACTGTTACTGTGCAATTGTGGAAAATGCCTTACAAAATATAAATAAATATTTCCAACACTCACACCAATTAGCCTAGCCCCAAAGTAAGCACTGTAAGGCTTGTGTTATGGGATACTAGGGTAACGGATAGAATACATCATATATAAGTATATTTATATAGAAATACATATTAAACATCCATGACTGGAGTACAAATGCTCGTGTTCATCACACAAACATCTGCCCCCACCGGGATTCGAACCCGGGACCTCTCGAGTCTGCGACGCCATGAAACCCGGCGTACAAACCACTCGGCCACGGAGGTCGTCAAAGCATTGGTCAGAGTGTTTCGCCCTGTTACTGTACAATAGGGACGATGACTATTTTTTTTTTCTTCGTTTATCAGGTAGATTATCAAAAAGTATTGGACACGTATTTTTTCATTTTTCACATAATATAAACATTGCAGAGATGTATTGATTTGAAAAGTCGCATAACGTCACGTTTTGGTACAATTTTCACTTAAAAGTGACGTCACGAGCCCTTACTCCCAAACTTTGACGCGCTATAACTTTGACATTTTTTGGTTGATTGCCCAAAGAAAAAATACGTGTCCATTATTTTTTGATCATTTAACTGACGGACTAAATAGAATTTCATTTACTGCACCCCGTCATCATACCTATTGTGGAAAGTGCCTTACAAAAAGATTAATATTGTTTATTTTAAATGAGGATCATTACTAGGTCAGCAAATCACCTGAAAATCAACAGTATAATGATCTAATAAGCTTTTTAATTAATATAATTTTTAAATCATCGAAATCGGTTCATTCGTTGCGATTTAATAACTAATTTTATGGTAGCCAATATTCACCAGCGGCTAAACGTGTGACGTCACAGAGCTCGACCGCGGTTCACTCCGGTCGATCTTTAGTAGCGTTTCTACGCACGCTCGCGCCTGAGCGCTTGAGCTCTGTGACGTCACAGCCACGACGCGGCCAGCCGAAAATTCGTTTAGTAATTTGGTCATAACTTCTTTAATATTCGTTGTAGAACAAAAATTCAACCGCTGTATTTAATGGAATCCTTAGCTCTATAAATCTGCATTCCAACTAAAATCGTTTATGAGTTACCTCATATTGAAGTCATTTTCCAATTTGACGACTCTGTATACAATATAGGGAGAAAAAAACAGCCCTTGCTGAGTTCCTTGCCGGTTCTTCTCAGTACAAGGTCTCCCGCCGTAGATTTGCGAACCGATGGCATAGCTTTTCGACATTCACAGATGCTTGTAACAGCCTAGACTGAATAAACGATATTGAATTGAATTGAATCGTTAAGGATCCTCATTGCTGTTAACTTTTTTAATTTTTTGCTGAACTCGTTGATGTATTTTTACAATAAATCCTTTCTAGCATGTTCTAAATCATTTATGCTATCCCGCTCTCATACCGGCACGTGTATTGCTAGTGACCCACTGATTTATTTATTTAATGACGTTTCGCAACCTGAAAAGGATATTGACCTGACCGTTGAAAGGACAATGTTAAAATTGGCCTAAGAACCAACACCAATTTGGCATTTATGATAATTCTTAGTATATTTTTTGCGATAACTATCAGTATTTAGATTGTGACGGACACTTCCAGTTAATTAAGCTAAATTAAAAAGTTAAAAAATAATCTGAGACAATAAACACCATTTTATGTGTATAATCTATGGCAGCGCTGCAAACAAAACACTCTTTGTTCCTAATGCCGGCACTTCACTTGGCTATTCGTATTTGCTATTTTAAAACATGACATCAGTCTGTCCTTTTTATTCCTTATTAAGCATGACAAGGACAAACTGTTCTCAAGTGAAGGGCCGGCATAAAACTTGTTACTCTGTGGTTGTGGTGCATGCAGTTTGCATTCGTAGTAATCTGTGACATTCGTGCATTCCAAAGAGTAGTATAATATACCGAAAAGTGCATTCTCGTTTCGGATTACCTGTTGTGTGTGTTTATTTGCGATTGTTTTACCTTTAATTTAACTATTTCGGCTATCTAATATGCCATCAATGTTACCAAAGAGCAGAGCCCTTATTACCAAGTGCTAGTGAGCCTGTGCCACGACATCCTGAGATCATACTGCCAAATTATTTAAGAACACCTGATACACATTCACGTAGCATATTTACACAATACACATGTGATATACAAATAAATACATTAAACAATATGATATAATTATGTGAAAAATAGTAAATAAATAAGAAGCAAAACTACAGTTTTTTTTTTATTCATGATTCCTACCTAACCAAGTTTTTCCTAATAGTTATTCTTTAAAACGCACCGAATAAAATTAATTAGTTGTAATATTAATTCACTTCATACTAAATTCATAGATTGACCTATGTTTCATTGAATATTAAACATAACCTCAAAAAAAATTTAGTTTTCCTAATAATTTAAGTTTCAGAAGTGTCCGTCAATTTTGTTTTTACAGTCATTTACTTACGATTTTGAACCTAGAAAATAATATTTCATGATTGTTGGTTCTTAGGCTAACTATGTATGGACGCTGAACAATATCCTTTGTTTTATTCAGCACACGGGCCACACGCCACAGCCACAAACGCCGCCACGAGAAACTAGAAGCGGCTACTAAAGACAGCGGCCGACTGAGGTAAGGGAGAGAGGGGTGGGGAATCGCGCGAGTGGCGTGTGGCGGCTAGTGTTGGGTAGGACACGACTTGAAAAAGAGTTTGTAAGAGTAGCCTCTTTTTTGTACTGAGCCAGTACAATGTCCCACTTCAAATGAGGCGAGGCGTACTGAAGCTCGGCAATACATTTGAAGTGGCGAGTACAAATATGACATTGAGGCGTACAGAAGCTTGACATTACGTTTGTGTGCACGAGTAGCACCTCCTCTACGTATTATCAATCTTGCTGGATCCAGCATGCAGGACAGCGCTATACACGTAAAAGAGATAGATACAGATGGATAGTGCGTAGAGGACTTAAATGAAATGTCATGCCTCGCTCTCTCTCAGACTTACGAAGAGTGAGTGAGTAACGAGACGCGACTATCGCGACATTTAATGTGAAGTAGTACATTTTAAAATTTTGAGCCGCTCTTACATTTTGACCTTATGTCCGGGACAAATGTACTGCCTCTTGTAAGTCCTACTCAACACTAGTGGCGGCGTTTTGTATCGGCGCATTAAGGCGTTGAGCAGACGACGGGGCGGGGCGGGCATTTTGTCCGCGAAGCAATAAAGACCGCGTCTGCCCGTCGATGTCTGCGGCTGCCCGCGCCGCGTACACAAAGCACACGACGGGCAGAGGCGGTCAGTTTAGGACGTTCGTTCTAGTGAATAGTCCATCACTAATAAGCGCGTGGCGCGGAGTGAGCTGACCGCCCCGCGCCGCCGTGTGCGTTGCTGCATATAAACTGGTTTGTATGATCCACGGCGGGCAGCCGCGGACATGCCGCGCCGCCACTGCCCGCCGGGCACCCAAGGCGCGGTCTTTTTGCCCTCTGTGTGCGTTTGAAGTATAGGATTCACTTTGTGCTATTATTCGCGGCGAAATTGACCGGCCCCCCCCGCCCCGTCGTCTGCTAAGCGCCTAAGTGTCCGGTGCGGCCCACAAGAAGCGAGCAGCGACCATTTGTAGCGTGTGGCGGCCACCGGCGTACCGTGTGTGGCGAGTCCATATAAAATGTATGAAAACTTTGTAGTTTCTATATTTCTTGTGAAATATGCCGGTGGCGGCGTTTTGTGGTTGTGGTCGGTGGCCCGTGTGTAGG